ATAAAATAAAATAAAATAAAATAAAATAAAATAAAATAAAATAAAATAAATTATTGGAGATACAGGCAGCAATAAATAACTGAAAAAGGAATAGTATGTGTGAGCTTTGGATCAATAAATCCTAGTATCTGTCTTGTTTCTAACATGCACCTCTGCTCCTGGGGTCAGGTCCCCAGTACTAAAAGTGGCCCACTGCACTCCCCACCTTTCTTGCACTTCTGTCAGAATGTAAAGTGTTGATGAGAAGCCTTTGAGACACATCTACCACCACATCCAGGGCTCTTCACCTGCCAAACAAGGGCTAGAAGCTCCTGTGACTGAATGGAGGGTGTTTGCAGCACAACTTCATGGAAGTGAAACTAAATAGACTTATTTCTTAAATGTGGAATCTGAGTGTTGGGAGAGGCCTGGCACAACAGGGTCACCAAAGCAGTCAGCATGACGTGGAAGGTCCTACAGGACAACAGGATGCAGGGCACGCTCATCCTCTGAGCACGCAGGGTGGGCAGAGTTAGCTCTGCTACAAATATGCACAGGGTGTTGGAAACTATGCTGACTGCCTATGGTCCCTGATATCACAGCACTGAGGGTGTCCTGAGCTGTCCCTCATACCTTGATGGCGTCTTAACATCACCTTCACATCCAAGTAAAGTTCAGCAACATCACACGCAGTCTGGACCTCCAAGGAAAGGGCCTCAGGAGCTTCCAGCTGCACAGCACTAGCCCTGAAACAATCAGAGGCAGAGCCTCCTCAGTGCTCCTTTGCATTCAGCTCTGCCCACCAAGACCCTTCCTTCCCCCACCCACACGGCACTCACCTGCTCAAGGTGTCTTCCGCATCCTGTAAGAAACAAAAGAGGAATGTGTTAGCATCAGGAATCCATGGACTGTGGCATGGAAGATGCTGCCTGTAAAGACAGATCCCCAAGAAGGAAAGAGGGACCGAGGCTGAGACAGTGTTACACAGTCAGGAGTAAGGCTCCCACCTGGCCTCTGCCCACTCGGCAGGGAGCTGTGATTCCCCTGGGAATGTCTGTGAGGGAAGAAGAGTTGCTAAAGTGGCATCAGCCTGTGGCTTCTGCAACCTGGTTTGACATTTTCTCAGTCTCTCTTTGGAAAGACTGGATCTTAGGGACCTTATGTCCTACATAGTGAGGCTACATTAGAGATCATTGTCACCATGGTAATTAACACTGACTGGACATGCAGCTTCTGAGACTGGGTCACAAAAGTGGTCACCTCAGTTATCACAGGTGGTGGACCAGATGTGCCACCTTCTGAATTGAGTGTGATTTCGATCCCACTAGCAGAAGCCAGAATTAACAACTGCTGCTGCTTATCCTAATGAGTTGCCTCTTCTCTTTCACACAGCTATAAGAAGTCCCACGGTAGTTGTAGGTGCAAGGGCTGCCCCACAAAATTAAGGAAGAGGTTGCTACTCCCTGTGGTGTTCTCCCTGTCACTGCCTGATACCACGATGAATATTTCACCCAGACTGGCACTCACCCAGAAACAGGCAGTCAGGACCTAAAGTGCGTCATGGGGAAATAATACCCAAATCTACATCATGGGTCTAAGTGCTCATTCTGTGTTCATCTATCCAACAAACTGTTTTTCTTTCATTGCTGTGGATTCAACTCAGGAGCTTCCCCATAGTAGGAGTGTGCTCTACTATTGACCAGCATCCCAGGAACATTTTTTACTTTTAATTTCAGACTCACTCAGTCAGCCTCCATTTATGCTGCCCAGTCTGAGCCTCTCCAATAACTGAGAATGGAGCCCCATCCTGTGGAAAGTGTGATTTATAGTTCACATAAGGGGACCCCATAGAACAGTGGGCCCACTCTGATGGTGCTCAGGGATAGACTTGGGGAGATACTACCTAAATCCCAGCACAAATGCCCACGTGGGAATGGAAGCAGGCTGTGCTATTCTCATGTTGCCTTCTCTCCACATTCCTCAGAATCCTGTCTTTCTCCAAGGCCACAGCCTCACCTGCAGCAGCCTCTGGGCTGAGCTCTGACATGTTGCCTGCAGCTCCTCAATGTGGCTCTTGATTTCCTCGCTCTTCTCCTGCAGCTTTACCTCATTTTCCCGCAGTCTCCTCACTATCTGCTCCTCTTCATTCTCTAGTCTCCAGAGATACAAATTCTCTTCCTCACAGAGAAAAGTGTGGAGTTTCTCAAAGTCCATCTTCACTTTCCGTTTCCGAATAGCTATCTCTTTCTAGAATGAGGAAAGTAAGGTCATAAATACAAACAAATAGGGAATCCATGCTGAGTGGATGAACAAGTTGTGAGCTGTACAGGATAAATCCTGAGGGGATTTCACTGACCTTCTCAGACCCAAAAGCTACAACTCTTGTTGCATAGGTCCTGCTTTACCTTGGTCTTAACCATCCAGTAGAAAAGTATGAAGATGAAATATAGGAAGTAAAGCCATGCTGTTATGTTGAGCTATGGGGGACTCAGGTCAACAATTTCTGACATTACCAGTTAAACAGAAGACCCAATGCTATTATGGGCTACTGGACTCTTTTAGAATATTTTGCTGAGTTTACACACCTATAATATTCAATAACGGAACTTAGCAAAAAAAGGGGATACAGATGAATGTCCATTTTGTATCTGTGTATTCAAAGTGGTTAGGATAGATATATAGTTATATTCTCTTAATGAATAGAATGATTTGTTCTAATGGTGTTTGTCAATAGGATCTCAAGTCCGCATCTTGTACGGCAATTAACCACTAAGAAGAATGTATGCAGTGTGTTAATTATTGAAACTGTCCTAGCGATTTGATTTGAAACTGTCTCATTGCTATTTATCAATAAAATTATGAAAAAAAAAGTTGTGACCTGTAGATAGAGTGGAGTCTTTCCCATTGTCAAAAAACAATGGAAATCTGCCCATCCTTTAGAGATAAACCCTGGGGACTTCATGCTGAGGAAAATGAGCCTGAAACAAGGGGATCAACAGTGACCATCTCACTTCTATGAAGCACCTAAAGAGTTACATTCATAGAGAGGAAAAAGAAAATAGTAGGTACCAGGTGGTTAGGAGGAGAGGAAATAAGAGTTCAGGTTTAATGGACACAGAATTACAGTTTACAAAAAGAAAGAACTTGTGGAGGTGAGTAGAGTGATGGTTCTGAAACAATTGAAAAGGAATTTAGTTCCTCAACTACACACTTAAAATAATAACAGTGGTGGGCTGGAGAGATGGCTCAGTGGTCTAAAGCACCTATTTAGAACAAGCTTAGTAAAGCATCAGGGACCGCGGTTCAATCCCCCAGC